TCACATACTGGCTTTCAACAAAAAAAAAAAAAAAAAAAAAAAAAGAATCCATCAGTCTCTACCTTTCTTATTATTATTTATACATTCAATCATTATCCATCATTTAGTTTGTAAAAAGCTTTCACTCAACATGATACATGCCACACAGCAGGTGAGTTGAGAATACTGTACAAAACATCAGTAACAAGCAACAAACCATATCTGTATCCCACAAATGTCTTACTTCTATCTTTATCATCATTGTGGAAATATATACAAATATGCCCCATCTTTGAAACAAATAATAAAGTCCCTCACTTCATGTGTATCCTTCTACAGTTAATATCCTCTTTCTCCTCCACTTGCAAAGACCCTTAGACATAAATTCTACTTTCTTTTTAAAATAATTGTTTAATTTTGTTTATTATTATTTTAAATTTGGTATAGAGTATGTTAACTCACCAGAGAGATTGAGAAAGCAAGCAGACCAGGTCTAGGACTCAAACTGCAGTTGGCCAGGTGAGAATCCTGCACACTTTAACCACTACACTACCTTCTGGCCACTAAATTCTACTTTTAAAGGAAGCATTTTAAACTTCTCATTCCCTCTTCTAATTGAGCCTCCAAGACCTCGCATAACAGTAATTATGTGTATTACAAACCCAGTATCATAAACACAGCCTTCCTTTGCTGTGTTTGATGATTAGTTACCTTTTTCCAAATGTATATTTTTAATTTACATTTAATCACTTTACATGGGATAAACTCCAATGTCCAAGAACAGATTAAAAAAAAATGTGGCACATATACATTATGGAACACTATTCAATCATAAAGAATGATGAGAGCCTGACATTTGATACAAAGTGGACAAATATGGACAGATTGATTATTGTTTTAGTATCATAATTTAACACATACATCAATTCATTAAAGAAGTAAGCCAGCAAACAATTACTTCTAGGTTAGGTTGGATGGGCTCTTGGGTAACCTCAGTTATGTTTTCACAGTTTCCATTCTCCCTAACCTCTCCCTGAAGTATGATATGGGCTCTTGGACTTTCCTAGATTAATTTTCTGAGAGGAAGGTCCCTGTATGGAGATTGAAACTCTTCCATTCCTCCATGAATGTTTGACGTTGCACACTGTAACCCTGTGTCAAAAGTCAAAAGTAAGGTTCCAAAAGAATCAACCAGACCCCTGCAGCCCTAGGTGGCAGCAGCAGAGGGAGTATTCAAAGCTCTCTGTATCTGCCCTGTTAGAGATAATTCACCTTGTTACTCCAATCCAGAGTATGCCATTTCCCTGGGAGGCATGGTTCTACTCCAGAAGAAATTTTCTTCCTGCTTTGTTCCCAAGACACCAGATTAAACATCAGGGGAATCCAGTTTTTATTTCTCTTTCTCCATGAACTCATAGAGAAAAAAATCTAACCTTCTAACACCTAATCCCAAGCCTCAGTTTAAGTTTTCTCTAAAGTCTGGAGCTATGTAACCTGCCTTGACCAGGTACCTTGACTTTCCAAAGCATTGTCTTGTAGGAACAGCAACCTTGGTATCTCCAGAAAATTGCTATTTTCCTCTTTAACAAGGAAGTGAACTTTGTTCCTTTGATGTAAAACCATGGGTACTAAGTCCTTTGGTTTAATGATGCTTTTGTTAATACAAAGGAGGAAGTATATAAGGAGAATATAGAATGCATATATGTACACACACACACACACACACACACACAGGATAATCCTTCACTTATAAAAAAAATCAGTATATCAAATATTAGCACTTTAAGGCAGAAGTTGCATATTCTAAAGTATAACAACAGAGATGGCAAGTGAAGATTGCAGAGACTGTATTGGAGGGGTGGTTAGCAGAGGGTGGGAGAGGAGAGGGATTCAGGAAAAAAAGAAAATTTAACAGACATCATAATGGAAAGTTATATGATAAGGATCATGTATACAGTAACATCTTTTATTTGATCAATATACAATGTATGTAATTTTTTTGAGAGGTTACTGTTATAAGGCACGTGCACTCACCAGAAAGACAGAGACAGAGAGACAGAAAGTGAGAAATCACCTCCCAGGGGGGATGACCACGCCACAATCCCTTCTCCTCTTGGGATCTTGGGCACGCATGCACTCATACCGGGTGTGAGTTCAAGCCACTGGATACGGGACTCAAACTACTGTTAACTACAATGGGAGTCCAGCGACATAACCCTTACGCTAATTGCTGGTCCCCAGTGTATGTATGTTTTGGAAAATCCATATTGTATTCTGTTAAGATGTACAATGATTAAATGTTAAAAAATTCAATATCGAAAATATAAAGATAGAAAAAATATTTTTATACAGATTTTGCTGAGACAAGCACTTTGCAAGAACTAACTTTATTTTTTTCAAATTTACTTTTTAAATGACATATAATTGTATGTATTTACTGTGTGCAGCATGGTTTTGGGATGTATAGATAAATTTAGAATGGTTAAATGCAGTTACTTAATTGATATCTCTTGTCACTTGGCTATCATTGTGGTGGTGAAAACATCACTTGCAGGACTAGAAGTTGTTCAGATGAGCTAGTGAGTAAGTAATGAAAGAATGTGAGCACCTAGGACACTACTGCATTCCACTGTAGACTTTCAAAACACTGGACGTGTACACTACACTAATTTATTTATTGTGTTTCTTATAGATTTTACTTCTTTTTTTCCCCCTCGTTTCCCTCTGTCTCACCCTCTGCCATTTCCCACCCTCCTTCCACAGTCTGTGGTAGCCACAGTTGCTCTCCATGCTTATATACGGTCAAGTATTTTTAACATTTTTTTCTTTATTTAAGAACAAATTAACACCAGTTTAATGTATTTTTTAAATTTATTTTTATATATTTAATCACTGTACATCTTTACAGTGTAAAATAAAGTATTCCCAGCATGAATACAGTGCATATTAGACAAGTCAAAGACATTACCATATACATTATCAACAGATAACTCTCTACTTTAGTTTCTCTTAAATGTTTTAGTCGTTTGTTTTTTCCCTGGTTCCCTTCCCCATCTTACCCAGCCCCTCCTATACTGTCTCTACTATCTACAGTTGCCCTCCCTGCTATTATACCTTCCAATATTTCAATTTTTGCTTTAGAGCACAGACATTCCGTATTTATTAAGCATGGACACACAGAAGAGAACAAAAAGAAGAAGAGTGTTAAAGTAGAGGAGAGATAAGTTTTCTTAGTCAAGGCAACCCAAGATCAGCCAACATCCTGTTAAATCCTCAATAGATGAGAAAATTTAGCCACAGGGAACAGTGACTCCCTTACTTAATTCACAGATGACTACATATTCATGAGAAAACCTGGAGAGTTCAGAAATATTTTCCACCATGAAATAACATTAATTAACAAAGGTATTACAGTAAACCATTTCTGTTAAGATGACTTGTTATGCAGCAATAACTATCTGATACAATAACCAAAGTGAACAAGATGAAAGGCAATTATAACAATCTTCTGCTTTGTACTTTTTGTCTTTTTTCTTATATGTGAAAACTATACTCATTTTACTCTATTAGTCAAAATTGTAAGAAGTTTGTACTAGAAAAAGACTAATAAGAGGTTCCTTTCTAGGAAACCAGAAGTTAGAAGGATATCTAAATTTGTGGGAAAATAGTTGTGACCCAAAGTTATGTCCTGGATAGGAATTCAAGATTATTTGTGAGTAATCCTTTGATCACAAAGATTGAAGAGATAGCTGAGCATAAAGGAAATGTAATATAGATGATACAATATTCATTCACTACCCCTTTGATGATTATAAGCTTGGAAAAGAAGGAGATATTTTATTAGAGAATTGGAAATACTTGTGTATGTCAGCAGAGGGTGAGAGGGAGGGAATAGTCTAGGGTGAGAGAAGAAGCAAAATATATAAGAAACACAATAAATAAAATATGATAAATAAATAAAAAACAAAGACATTTCAACAATAAAATATCAATCAAACCAAACCATTCTTCACCAAAATTTACCAATTTTCTCTACTTTAATGAGCAGATCTAGAAAATTAAAGAGAAATATTTTGCATAGTAATACAACATATAGCTTAAAACTTAATGCATTATATGGAAATACATCTCTGACTTTAAGGTGGCAAAAAGACAAATGATTTACTAAATTTGTCTTTCCAAGAAGATTCCACTTGAATAATGCAGATAGTAATTATTTTTTCAGTGTCTATATAGGCACTGTGAACACTGGGTAGAGTTAGAAGTAGGACATAAAGATCAGAATGAAATCCAATGACAAACTATAAAACAAATTGTTGTGTTAAACTCTCCATTTTCATGAAGACCTATTGAGAGAGTGATATATCAAGGAATGATGAATATGAAATTAAAAAATTGTGATTTCTAAGTGCAAACAAATAAAAATTTTAAAATAATTATATAAATAACATTAGATGCCAAGTGTATTTATTTTATTCCCATAATAGAAATATAACCTATTTTTTATAGAATCAAAACTTAATCTATATTGTCTGGAAAGGAATTATTTTTCAGAAATTTATGTTGCTTAATAAAATCAACTGTGATTTATAGCTATTTTTGATTTATGAATTAGGATAAACTTGTGAAAATACAATAAGCTGAAAAGAAAGATTTGTATAGATATCCAACAGAGTGGAATAGTGAGATACTTAAAATCCAGAGAGGCTGAAATCAAAGCTTTGAAGTTTTAAGAGATAGGCAAATGGAACAAGTTCCATTTCCAGAAACTGATCAGATTTTCACCATTTCTGCCTCAAATACTTTGAGCCATGCTAACAAGTGTAATTCTTCACGTCCTCAGTACCAGAGTCATTTATTCGTTGATAGTTTCCTTCCAGAAAACCTTTTCAGAGCCCTCTTCATGTCTTCATTCCTCAGACTGTAGATGAAGGGATTCAGCATGGGGGTGACCACAGTGTACATCACTGAGGCTGCTGCACTTGAGTGTGAGGTCTGGGTCGTAGAAGAACTAAAGTACACACTTATCATTGTAAAGTAAAATAAAGAGACAACCAAAAGGTGAGAAGCACAAGTGGAAAACGCTTTATATGTCCCCTGAGCTGATGAGATTGCATGAATGGAGGAAACTATCTTGCAGTAAGAATAAAGGATCCCCGTGATGGGAACACCACCCAGCAGCACAGATGCAGAATAGGTCACCACGTCATTAAGAAAGGTGTCAGAAGAGGCAAGATGGATAACCTGATTAAGTTCGCAGAAAAAGTGAGGGATTTCCAATGGTGTACAAAAGGACAGTCGCAATGCCATTAAGCTGTGCAACAATGAATTCAGGACACTCATGATCCAGGACAACAAAGCCAGCAACACACAGAGCCAAGGGTTCATGATGATGGTGTAGTGTAGGGGGTGACAGATGGCCACATACCGGTCATAGGCCATCACGGTGAGGAGAAAGTCATCTACACCTGCAAAGAGCACGAAAAAGAACATCTGGGTGATGCAACCTGCATAGGTGATGACTTTGCTCTGTGTCTGGATGTTCACCAGCATTTTGGGGATGGTGGTGGAGGTGAAACAGATGTCAGCAAGGGACAGGTTGAGGAGGAAGAAGTACATGGGGGTGTGCAGGTGGGAGTCTGAGACGGTGGCCAGGATGATGAGCAGGTTTCCAATCACGGTGATCAGGTACATGGAGAAGAAAAGCCCAAATATGAGAGGATATAATTTGGGTTCCTCTGAAAATCCCAGAAGAAGAAATTCTGAAATTCTTGTCACATTCTCTGGTTCCATGTGATGGAAGTGACTACTAGGAAAAAGAAATTAATATGTCTATTTTTTTCACTCAAAATGGCTTTCAATGTTGACTCACAGAATTCACAATAATTACTCACATATATAAAATTCGACAGATTTTAATTAAAAGTTCTTCATTAAGGAAATTAATATTTCTAGTTTTTTCATTGCAAGGGGATGAATATACTTTCTAAAAAAAAAACAGAGAAAGGAGGTGGGGGAGAAATCACCCCCAATAGGTCACAGTCATGTCACAATCTCATCTCTTCCATCTCTCCGTTATGTCACGATTTTCAGCATGCATGCATACAAACCCAGAGTGTTTTTCAACCAACGAGGGCTAGGATTTGAACCACAGTTAACCATGTCAGATCCAGGTTCTAAAATCTCTATAAAAACACTTGTATATCCATGTTCATTGGGACATTATTCACAATTACTAAGACATGAAACCAGCCCAAATGTCCATGAACAGAGAAATTGATTGAAAAGGTGTGGCACATACACATTACAGAACATTACTTAGACATAAAAATCAATGAGACTGGCATTTAATAGAAAGTGGACAAATATGGAAGGTTTACTACTAAGTGAAGGAAGCCAGACTGTGAAAGAGAGGCCTTGTGTGTCCCCACTTAATATATACTGAATGCCTGCCCTCTGGCAGAAACTGAAATATTGGATGGTATAATGGCATGGAGAATAACTGTGGACATGAGAGATAGTGTGGGAGGATGGTGGGAAATGGTGGAGGGTCAGAGGGAAGGAATCACAGGGAAATAAGAAAGAAGTAAAACATTTAGAAAACACTAAATGGAAAAATATCTGTAGAAGATAATATGTATGGTAATATCTTGTAATAAGCCATTGTATTCTAGATGAGAAAATTCATTTTCATATGTTGTAATGAAATACAGTGAATGAATGTAAAATAAAATTTTATAAATATGTATATATGTATACATATAGAATCACTATGCTACAGGGCTGACCCATTCTCTGGATTTTGTTTATGGTTTCTCTTCCCTTTAGCATACCCCATCCTCCCAGGTTATGTTCGATGGGAAGTTTCTGCCCCATTCTCAATCTTTCTCCAAATTTTCTCATGCATTTTAATAACATAAACTGAAAACACACCAAATTCTATGTACTGTCTAGGTAATGAATATAAGTTGCTAAGAAACAAAAATACTTAACAATTATAGATGAACTGATAAATAATTTTGCGATATATCACATATTAACAAGTGCTTTGGGGACCAGCAGATGGTGTAGCAGTTACATTGCTAAACTCCCACAATGCCAGCCATGGTTTGAGTCCTGGACCTGGTGGCTGGAAACACACCGGGCACATGTGTGTGCATGACCAAGATCATGAGAGGAGAACGGAGAAAAAAGGATTGCAGCTTGCTTGACCATCCCGCCTAGGAGATAATTTCTCTCTTTACCTCTCACTGTCTCTGCCCCTTCTCTCTCTCTGGTGAATGCATGCACCCCAAGACAAAATCCTCAACAACAACAAAAAATGCAAGTGCTTTGAAAACAATGAAATTATGTAGAAGTGAGAGAGTGGGAAGGGGGACTATTAACTGGCAGATAAGTGACATTCGAACAGAGACTTCAGGAAAGAGAGGGCAGAAGCTGTAAGGATACTTGGGGAAGTGCACATATGGCAGAGGAAATAAGCAAGAGGGAGAATAATGAGATGGTAACAGGAGATGGTGAGGAATGAGGGACCTACTGATGCTGAAGCTTGAGGACACTGAGGCTTCTTCAGTCACATGCTTTTCTATCCCTCTAAAAACATAGCCATCCAACAGTGGAGACACAGAAGCAAGATTCCAGTGAGCAAGATCCCCATGGACATGTGAACTTGGAGCCACATTGTAGTATGACCACTTCGTGCTGTGTATTTATAGAAACATTTGGGAAAAGCGAGAACTATAGAGAATATGTAACCAAGTAAATAGAACAGATTCAAAACAACTGTGCTTAATGAAATGGAATGAAAATATAAAATTATAGAAACATTGTACAAATATAACCAATAACATCAACATAGGTCTCTAATTACAGGTTAAATTGAAACTATCTGGGTGTAAAATATTAAAAATATATATTTTTAAAGAAGCAGTGGGAAAAAACAGTATCAAAAGTATCTATTGTTAAAATTTTGCACCATATAAACAAAGAGATTTAAATGTGCTTATGAAAAAGACACACATTATTTTAGGTGAACACAAAAGGATGTGCTTTGCAAGATGTCAGAAAATAATCATTAAGTTAAATAATTAATTTAAGTAAAAAATACATGTGTAATAAGTAATAAGAAAAACAAATGTGAAATAATATTGTGACTGTTACAAAAGAAAATGATGATTAAGCCACTAAGCAGTATATTCAGAATGGGAAATCACATTTTGTGTGCTGTGACGATGGTTAGGGAATGCATGTACATTAATTAATTTAAAAAGTTTCAGAAAACTAAAAATCTCATGGAAATATGTGCAATGGGAAAACTATGTATGAATATCAAAAAGTTTTTGAACCAAAATAAATTCATACTTTAATTGTAAAAAAATTAAAAATTTAAAAAATAAAATAAAATCAGAACATTTATTACTACTAATGATTCAGAAGACGTTCTTAAGTTTAAAAAGTAATGAGGGTGCCCAGGAGGTAGTGTGGAGGTTAAGGCACTGAATCCCATGTTGCTGACAGTGCAATTCAAGTCCTGGATCTGGCAGTTAGCAAATATGCCCTAGAGAAAAAAACTAAAATACATAAATAAATAAAGCATTGAGGAGTATGGGTATGTAATATGACTGACTAATAGACATAACCACACAACATTTAAAATTTTTCATAGCACCCCTCAAGAGTTTTATTTTTACATCTATTGTAATTAAAAATAAAAAAAGTAAACTTATTGCCAAATCCCCAATTCATAGAATAAACTCAAAAGACATCTGGTATGAAAAAGCAAAAAACCTGTAAAGAAAATTCCCACTAAAGGAAAAGGCTAACAAGCTCCAAAATAATTTCAGTCTCAGCAGTAGTGAAATAATTGATTTGTAAAGCTCTTTAGTTTTCCCCAGTGTCCTGTCAAATAAAATGGATTTTTTCTTAAACTACTCAACTTGAGAGAAGATACTGCAAAATATGTCTCATGAGCTGCATTGTGAGGTAGTATTTGTAAATCATCCTCTAGTTCGACCCTTGCAGTGATATAAAAACATGTCCAAATACATCCCATCTTAAAAAGTAAATAAAATTTTCAATTTTAGCCATTCTGACTGGAGTTAAGTGACATCTCATTGTGGTTTTGATTTGCATCTCCTTTATGATAAGGGATTTTGTACATTTTTATATGCTTTTTGACTATTTGTATGTTTTCATTAGAGGGATGTCTGTTCAGTTAATTTGCCCGTCTTTTAATTAGGTGGATCATACGCATATGGAAGACTTACTGCAAAGTGAAGCAAGCTGGGCTATGAAAGATGGGTATAATATATACCGAATGTCTGCACTCTATGGTAGAAACTGAACTATTGGACTGTATAAAAGCATGGAGAACAACTGTGGATACCAGACATGGTGTAGGAGGAGGGTGGGAAATGGTGGAGGGTGAGAGGGAGGGAAGCTACGGGAAAAAGAAGCAAAATATATAATACCATATGATTCAGCAATCCCACTCCTTGATGTCTACCCAAAGGACAAGAGAATCCTTAGTTGGAAAAGTGCTTGCACATAGGTGTTTATTGTGGCATTATCCACAATTGCTAAGACGTGGAACCAACACAAATGCCTACGGACAGAGGAATGGATTGAAAAGGTGTGGCAATATACTCTATGGAATACTACTCAGCCATAAACAAAAAAAAACTCTGAAAAATGAATGAAATAATTTAGTCTACTCTTTTAAAAAAGTTTGTAAAATATTGCACACTTTAGTGCACATCCCTCCACACAAAATATTAAATTTTCCTACCCACTTGTTGCAAATCTCCATGGAAATGTCCTAACTTTACTGAAATCACTTTACCTCTCCTGTGACTTCTTTGGTCATCTCCAACTGGATGTCCATAACCATGATTTAATTCTCACCTGCACTGCTGAGCCTAACAGGCACTTTTTAAATATATTAAATAAATTAACTATGAATGTATTAGTCAAGCAAGTAAGTACACTGATCTTGTGGCTCTGAGTTATGCTGGTCTGGGATCTCAGGTAACCTCAAGTAAACATTCTCAGCTTCCATTCTCTGGAATTCTTTCTTATAGTACCTATTGGGCTCTGAGACTCACCTGCCTGGGGTTGCTGGAAAGATGGGAGTCTGAATTCCTTACTGGATGGATGATCATAGAGACTACAGCTCTGTTCTCAGGCAAGAAAGCAGGAAGGAATGAAGCTTAATTTTCATAGCTAGGTTTAGGAATACAAAAGAAAAGTCAACCACATCCTGTCCTGCACAAGGACAACAGCAGAGGAGATATTTACAGCTATTGATATTGGCTAATTTGGCATCTTTCTCTCCTGTAAATCCAACTCCTGGGCATTTGATATCCCACTGGGAAAAAGATCTTGGCAGAAAGAAATATTTTCCTAATCACTCTCTTTTCCCAAGACATCAAGTTAGAAGTTAGGTGAACACTGTCATTATTATTCCTCCTTGAACTCACTTTTCTCCAGCTACCACAATCCTTAGCTTCATGATGCTTTTGATGAGACACACAGAAATTTCATTATCAGTCATATGGTAGTTCTATTTATAGAGTTTTGAGAAACTTTCATATTAGAGATTGTACTAATTTACTTTCCCAACAACAGGGTAAGAGATTTTCCTTTTCATCATAGCCTCACTAGCAATTGCCATTCTTTCTTTTATTGATCCTAACCATTCTAACTGGGGTTAAATGATATCTTATTTTGCTTTTAATTTGTGGTTCCCTTATGACAAGTGACTGAACATTTTTTTTTGAGAGGTTTTTGCCATAGGACATGTGTGCTCGC